GGAAGGAAGGAAGGAAGGAAGGAAGGAAGGAAGGAAGGAAGGAAGGAAGGAAGGAAGGCAGACATGGCACCTCATGGCTGCTTTTACCCAGCACAGATGCTTGAAAGAGCATTGGAAAGAGTTGGAGAGGAACTGGGTGCGGGCTCCGGCCTTTGAGTGAGACCAGCAGCCTGGAAAGTCATTCTCAGGAATCTCCGAGGCACCTACACAGAAAAACCAGAACCTCGATGTGAATGTCCCGTCCAAGGACATCTAACGAGACCCAGTGGGCAGGGAGTGCGCCTGGTGTTTGGTTTCTCGCTGGAGGACTATGAAGCCCCGGATTCTGCCCCACAGTCGGCTCATCACACCAGCCCTGCAAAGCTCGTCGACACCTGCCGTTTTGTCTCTAGTTGTATTTAGGAATAAAAACAGGTGGAAAACTAAAGGCCTTCACCTATATTGATTCCAAATACAGAGAAGTATTTCAGCAAAGGGGGCCCCTGTTAGCAAGAGTGTGTGCCACCCAAGGCCAGGCTGCCATCACTGCCCTCTGACACCCTCCGCCCACTGGGGGGGTGCTGGGCCAGCTCCCTGTGGAGCTGCTTCCAGGGGCTGCCCTGCTCGAGCCGAGTCAGGATAAACCTGCCTGTTACACCCCAAATTATGGGGATTTCCAAGGTAGCAATAAGCAGGTTTGATCATGTGCACACTATGTTTTAACCAACCAATTATTGCAAAGTTACAGAATCTAGGGCCAGAAAAAGTGCCTGGTTTCCTGTGTTGCAGCGATCTCTCTTCCGTCCCCTGCAGCTCAGCCGCTGGGGCAGTTCATTTATTGGCAAAGAGCGTAACAAATAAACAGGTAAATGAAGACTGCTCGCGACTGTCACAAGCCAACCATTTGTTGAAAGGCTGTTGAAATGTCTCCGTCCAGGGTGCACGCCCCTGATGCACGCGGTGTCCGGACGGCAGGTGGACACGGTGAAGCTGCTGCTGAAGATGGGGGCCAGTGTCAACACCCAGGACGCCCGCGGCCGCACAAGCCTGTGCCTGGCGGCCTACCTGGTACGGACGGGCCTGTCACGGGCTCCGAGGAGCGGGCCGGGCTGAGTGCGTGGGGGGTCCCACCGGCAGAAGGGTGGTTCTGGGTCTGTGTGGCTGGCCAGTGCCCAAAGGACGGCTGTCACCGAGGAGCCTCTGGTGTCTGAGTGAGGAAGGGAGGACATTCGGGTCGGGTGGGGAGCAGCGGGCGGGGTCTCAGGTTGGCTGCTACTGGCGTTAGAGCAGAGCGAGGCCAAGCGCATTTCTTTCAAAATTCTAAAATCCCAAAGGCAGAGTTTCTTGGGCTAGACAGCTACTCAGGGGCTGGCAGAAATGACTCTCCAGGTTACGCGACTACGAGCCCAGAGAGGGGCAACCTCTGCAGACGGCCCTTCCCAGGAGCACAGGCCGAGGAGGCGGCGAGGGGAGCGAGTGTGGCCCGGCGGGGCGTCACCCACACTGATATTTTTTGTGTTTTTTTAAATTCTTACCTAAGGACATTTTTCCATTGCTTTTCNAGAGAGGGGAAGGTGGGGGGGGAGAGACATCACTGTGAGAGAGACACATCGATTGGTTGCCTCTCGCATGTGCCCCAACCCCGGGGCCTGGGATCGAGCCTTTGGCTGGAATTGAATCCGGGACCCTCCAGTCCTCAGGCCGGCTCTCCAACCCCTGAGCCAAAGCAGCCAGGGCAGCCCACACTCTTAATGACGCCCCCACCTTGTGTGGCAACCAGGGCAGGACCCCTCCCCCAACACTCCCCGAGGCTCCCTGGAAGGGCATGGGGCAGGGATCCTGCCCCCCACTCCCTCTGGTGATGTTTAAGTTAGAGTATTAAAGAGAAACTTGGCCAAGGGGCCCTTAGAAACGGTCTCAGGCACAGCTCCAAACCCAGGCTGCAGACAGACTTACCAGGGATGGTGACTGTGGCTGGGCAACTCGAGCCACCGCTTCATGCCACGTGCCTCGTCTGTCAAATGTAGTAGGAACGTCAGACCAGGTGTCTCGCAGCCGAAGGAGAAGCATGCGGGTTCCCCCGGCACGTGGTCGGTGCAGAACAGACTGTCGGCTCAGAATAGAGACCGTGGGCGTCAGAAATACCCGATGGCTTTCCTAGCTCCTTCCTGAAGAAAGAAAGAAACCCACATGCACACACAGTTCCAGGAAAGGTTGCAAATTATAGCATGTTCAAACCCTCCCCCATCAGATTTGTTTTCCAAAAACTGGGAAACTCTGGCCACTCTGAAACCTGGCGACGCTGAAATGTGTCCAGTCTGCCTTCCTTTCGGGTTTCCCGGCCGCCTTGTTCCCCCTCCAGTGAGAGCACTCGATGACGTGGACGTTAGCTACTAAACCCAGGCTGGACGCCTCGGTCAACTCGGACTCGAGGCTGGAAAACGCTTGAGACTTAGGTACTGTTGGTCAGCTCTGAGGAACCATAGTCGGTATTGTAACCTGTGAAATTCGCTGTGCTTTCGTTGGAAGATTTTCTGCATACTTTTCAGAACCAAAAGATTGTTTTCTTCCCGTGACCTTTCTCCGCCTCTGCTCATTTCGTAACATTTTGGTTTTTGCCGCTTCCAGTGTCGTGGGGAAAACTCTTCGGGCATCTTTCTCATCTTATTCAGAGATCTTGAGGCTTAACCGTATGTGACAGGAGGGAGGCCAGGAAGACTTATCGTGTTATTATTTATCTACTAGACGTCTACTTGAATTGAGAGAGTGGCCCAGTGGTTGTGGGTGAATGTGGGAGGCGTTCTTGGCGGCTGGGTTATCAGTAGGGTTGAGTCAGTTACTGAAAGTCTGTGGAAAAGAGATTAGCCTGCAGTTGTATCTGCTCTTTGAGTGAGAGCCAGTGTGGAAAGGATCCAGCTGGCGGTGCTGGCGAGGAGGGGACAGCAGGAGAGGGGGCGGCAGGGAGCCCACACAGCTCCCTGGGGAACCCCTAAGTGGATAACACGTAGCCATGGGGAGCCCGTAGAGGGCGCTGCCGAGACCCCCATATTCAGCATCAGAAAAATCCACCCACAAGTCGGCAGGGTCCCAGCCATTGGAGCAGGGCTCAGGCTGGGATTCTGGGCATCGGACCGAGACTGATGGAGTGAACAAGACATTGTCCTGGAAAAGAGGCCTGAGGCCTGTTTATCGGATATAGAAACACTGAGGCCAGAGTGGAGGCTGGGGCTCAGGAGGCGAATGGTGGGGATTAGACCACAGCGTCGAGGTCAGGCCGTAGACAACCATGATGTGGGGCCAAGGCCATAGGACACGAGGCTGGAGCGGATCAACCGCCCTGTCACGTGGCCTGGGAATGGGGTGCAAAGTTGGATACCAGCGAGGGCCCTAGAAGCTGGGGGGGCGGGGTGCCGAAGAGAGAGTCTGGGAATCCGTCTCCATCTGACTGGGCCTGGGTCCCCAGGAAAGTCAAGGTGCCCTCAAGACGCCAGCCCCCTGCTGAGGGGTCTAATTGGGGTTGGGCCTTACCCAGGGAAGCCCAATGGAACATGTTCAGCCGGAACAGAGAGGGGGAGAGACGTGGAGAAGGCCTGGGGCTGCGCTGTGAGACGGTGCTGGTCAGATAACAGGGCCTGCTCTGTTCCAGGGCTGGCTGGAGGGCTGCCTGAGTCTGCTCAGAAACGGAGCCAAGCACCACATCCCCGACAAGAACGGCCGGCTGCCCCTGCATGCGGCCACCGCCGAGCCCGACGTGAGGTAAGCAGCCGGCGCGGCGCTCGGGGGAGGAGGGCCCGGGGGGTCAGCGGGTCATCTCCTCCAACCTGCTGTGGCAAATAAAAACAAATCCACCTTTTTTTTTTTTAAGTTGGAGCCAACAGGACCGCACGTTAGTAAATCAAAATACCCTGGAATAATGTTAAACTCTGGTCAAACCCTTTCTCTTCGTCTGACTTAAGAAGCAATGCTGTTTGTCGTCACCTGAATGCATATATCCATTCATTCAATTAATCAATCGCTTATTAGCTCAGTAACGATTGATTGGGTGTATATTACGGGCCAAGCTCTGTTCTAGGCCCGAGCACAGTCCCACAGTGTGGACAACAGTGTCCCCAACGTCACAGAGCTCACGCCCCTCGTAAAACAAACGAACAGGGTGACTTAGAATAGTGACGACTGCCACAAAGAAAGGCGTCAAGGTGAGCGAGCTCCGACGGGCAGAAAGGTGTCTGACTAGAGTCGTGCCGGCGTGTCCAGTGGGGAGGCGGAGGAGGCGGAGCAGGGACACCGGTGTGTGAGAGGAAGCCCTGCATGTGGGCTGCTGAGAGCCCTGGGAACGAATACCCTCAGACCAGTGGGATGATTGTGAAGGTCCCATCTTTATAAGATATTGAGCAACAGAGAAAAAGTCTTGCGCAGGCCAAGGGCAGCTTCCCCAATCCTCTGAGTTTCAATGGCCTTGGCCTCCCATCCTTTGAAAGCCCCTCGGAGCAGCTGATAACAGCATTTCCTGCGGTGGCATCAGCAGCATCCTGGGGGCTCCCCCAGCCTCGGCTGCACAAGACAGGGCTCTGCCTGGAACTGAGCCTCGGCCAGCACCCGGGGCGGGGGTGGGGTGGAGGGGCGTGTTCGGGTGCCTCGTCCTCTGCACCCCATCTCCAGAACTAAAACTCAAGCTGCGTGGGGGTACAGGAGACCAAGGCCGCCTCCGGGTGGGGGGAAACAAGATTTCTTCATTTCCGTCTGTTTTACACTAAAGTAAAAGGGCTTTGGAAATTCCAGGGCTATTCCCAGCCCAGCCTTGCTGCTTAACAGCACTGGACGAAGTCCAGGAATAATAGAAAACTGGGCTTTACTCAGAGCCCAGCAAACTAAGGCAGTTCGGAGGAGAAGCAGCATGCTCAGCGCTGACCAGTGGGCATCGCAAAGGGATGACTCTCTTCTGATGAATTACGGGGGAAATGACTGTGCTGGACAACCCGCAAAAATATTGAGTCACAAAATCATACTGTTTTCCAAGGCGTGACCTTTAGAAAATATGTTTAAAATGCATCTTTTAAGACTATGCTGCCTTGACTGGCTCTACTTTAATTCCATTTACTTCCCTCACTCATAGAGAGGTCGTTTCAAAATCAACGTAGCCGATTCTGGGAGACAGATGCCTGCTTTAGTTACAGTCATTATTGCTGTTGCCATAAACAAAGCCCAAGGCTTCTGTGTTTTAACACAAGTTTAGTCCAATGTAGTTGTTCCTGGGCGGGGGAGGGGTGGCTCCCCTCCACACGGTGATCCGGGGGCCCAGGCTCCTTCCATCTCATGGCTCTGTCATCCCCCAGGATCACAGGCTCCTCTTTGTTCAGCCAGTGGATAGAGAAAGAGGGTGTAGAGAAGCCCCACACCCCTTATTTCTTTAAAATCTCAGCCTGCAAACGACACCATTCCCTTCTGCTCACACTCCATGAACAAAGACTAGTCACTCGGCCACACTTGGCTATAAAGTGTGCTGGGAATAGAGTCCCCGACCAAGACTCCCCCTCCCTGCAATGACTCCAACCCAAGAAAGAGGGTGTGATGGCACCTGAGGGGTGCACTGTGCCTGTCAGTCAAAGTCTCATTCAAGGTGGACCTGTGCTGTCAATGAGGCTCATCAGCCGAAAGCACAGATACGCTGAAATCCAGCCCAGCGGTGCTTCCTGTTTGCTTCGGTCTATTTCTCAGTAAGCCCAGCAGTGACCCCAGGCTCTCTAGGAGCCACACTGCTTCGCTGTTGCTGAGATAACAGAACTGTGCTTTCCCTTCTCTGGAAATTGTACCCAATGACCCAACCACCACCTTCGGGGAGCGGAAGCCGGAGAAACATCCTTCCGTGTGCTGATGATATAGTTTTATTGTCCTAAGTGGACACTTGGCTGATTCTGGAAGATAAAATCCTGCTTTAGTCATGGCAATGCTCGCTGCTGTCACTAAAAATCCAAAGGTTAGGAGTAACAGTTTCAGGACCCAAACTGTCATTGCTGGTAATGTCACCGGAGGGAAATAGGTTCTTTCTCGGTGCTGTGGGAAAGGAATTTCAGGGACACACGGGGGAGGATCTGAGTGACAGCGGCAGGGTTCACCCGAGGCCCCTGAAAAGGCTGCCGCTCTCGGAAGCACTTGCCCTGCGCTCAGCCGGTAGATCTGCTCGCTGCCCCCAGGTCCACCCCGATGCCTCATCCTCAGGGGGTGCAGCTCCTCTCGCTGAGGGGAACGTCCAGCTTCCCGGCTGCAGGCCTGCCCTTGTGTCCACCAGGCCCAGGACGGTCACCAGGCCCAGAGCTGCATCCCCGGCTCCTGAGGCTCCCCTGGGGCAAGTTACCCAACTCCCTGTGCCCCAGTCCTGTCTGCAGGTCCCTCCGAAGGCTCCATGGTGCCCGGGCGCAGGGCGGCCTGTGGCTGCTAGAGAGAGACGGGGCCTTTGTGATGCGCCCGTTTCCTTGGGCTTGGGAAGGGGTCAGCTTTCTTTCAAACTATCCGCCTCTTTCCTGTTTTTCCCCAGGTCTCTGCGGGCACTTTGCCCCATCCAATCCCTTCCCCAGGTTTGTCTCCTCCCTTACGGTTACCAGGTTACCATCGGGGCTCCCACTGCGCGTGCGCTCGCTGGATTCCCCCCTTTCCTGCTGTTCACCTGTCCCCCGCCCCCCAGTAATCTGAGGGAATGCCAGCTTCTCCCTGGGGAGACTGGAAAGCCAGTCCTTCCGGCCCCCTCAGATCCGGGGGATGACCGTGAAGCTGCCGCTTTGTAGTTAACCGGCTTAATGCCTGATTCCATTGGCCCCCTTTCTCTGTTAATAACTAACTCACTGACCGACTCTGTAACAGTGAGGCTTCTCCGAAATGAACCGGGTGAAACCTTAACAACCCAGAGAGCAGACCCACTGGGCTTGTCACCGAGAGACGGTTCTAAACCAGTTTGCCTTAAAGGATCCCCCATGGAGCTGCGCTGTTTAAAATGAGATGTTTTATCGTTTTATGGAGAGGTGGTGAGGCCATGGCAGAGTCTGACAGCGTCTGTGTTGATGATTCAAGGGGAGACTATGCCACACTCCACAGCCGAGAGCCTGGGCCTCCTCACCCACCCGGTGTCGGCGTGGACTCCGCGTTGCTTTCTGGGAACAGAAACAGTCGTGGTCTGGCTTGTGTGTCCTTCCTAAGCCTGCAACCCGACCGTGGCAGGGAGCGATTCCCACAGGCCACGCACACCTGTCCGACCGCTTCCTTCTGCCGGGACACATTCAGGCCAGCTGGCTGACCACTGGGCACATCGGCCTTCAGTGACAACAGCGGTGATGACCACAAACAGTAGTGACTATTTATTTACTGCGTCCTGAGGACTCGCCACGGACTGCGCCATCCACTCTGGCCAACCTCTGTGCAGCAGGTAGAAGCTCTTCCCTCGTTCTATGGATGAGAAGACGGAGGCCCCGGGAGATGCTGAGCCCCCAGGGCACGTGTGAGGAGGCGCAAGCTGCCCCAGCCCCACTGTGCCCCCAGACCCTCCGCCGCAGGCCCCGTGGAACTTGCTTTAATGGCCACTTTTGGTCGTTAGCCCACAGCCCACGCTGAGAGGCCTCGTAAGAAGCAGCCTCGCAAATCTCACTGTCTCACTGCCGGGAAGTGTTCTGTTCCTCACAGCGTCCAGATTCCTTGTGAGAAGCCAGGAGGCCGACTTTCACTGCGAAGGCATTGCTGTGCTTGTCCCGAATCACTGTTTCTCATTTTTCTGTGTGGACACTGTGATGTCCGATCCTGTTTCTCTCTCTATGCTTGGAACTCAAAGTCCAGCGTGTGTCCCCCTCTGGCATGCGTGTGGGGCCACAGGCCTGTCTCTTCGCCTCCCTCGGTTTTCCCTCTGCCCAGGTCCTTCGCTCGTTTACATGCATCTGAAAACCATGTCGGCCCCTGTGCACTGAGGCGAGGGCGCCAGGAGAGCCAGCGCCGGGGTCAGGGTTTGAACCCGGCTCCACCTCTTCGTGACCACATTCTCCAGGGACAGTGACCGTGCCAGGGCTCTGCTCTTTTTCTTTTCTAAAAAGCAGGGGCAATACAGAACTGACCCCGGGGTAAGTAGGCAGAAGAAAACTAGAAGATGTGTGGGCAGCAATGACCACCAGGAACTGTCCGTGTTCCTAGTGTCAGTGGTGATGGAAGTGATCGTGATTATGGAAGACAGGTGGAAATAAAGAAATGCCACACATCAGAGCTGAAGAATGCACCCTGCTGCGGCTGCCACCAGCTCTCACCTGGCCTCTCCACCTGAGCACACACAGGTGCACAGGTCTGTGTCCACCTACGCAGGCGCGTGCACGTGTGCACACACTCACTGCGAGGCCATCGGGGCCCGGACAGCACAGCTGTCTGTTCCAACGCTGGGCGCAGAGCTGCTAGACTCCAGAACCCGATGAACATCACACATGACCATTCAGCTCCCGGGAGACTCGCTCCCGTGCCCTTGCTCATGTCTGTGCATCTTCCCCGTCACCGTAAGCACATGTATGGGCCATGCCGTGGCCTTGTACTCGGTGGGTCACACTCGTTATAAAATCCACTGGATCTTCCATCTCCAGACAACATGCCCCCGGCACTCAGAGTTTGCTGCAGGTTACCTAGAGCAAAGCCTCAAGCCTAAGCTGCAGGTAAACAAGCCAGTTGGCCGTTGCCTCCAGAGGTACTGGCTGGCTCTCCGATGGAAACAACGCACCTGGAACCTGCCAGCTCCCTCATTCCGCCTCGGCTGAGCTGCCACAGGCGGGGCCTTTGCTGGTGCAGGGATGAGTGACTTATAATTTCGAGTGTGCGGGAGAGCTGGGTGGACAAAAGCCAGGAGCACAGCCTTGATCTCCCGATGCCCTGTCCAGCTCTGAGGAGCTTCTCAGCAGGTCTGGTGGCTTTTCTTGCTTCTGTGGCTGGGACATTCAGAGGGCACCCCCGTGAAAGACGGGGCACAATCATTAGGACAAAGCTCCAAAGAGACCGGAGTCGTGTTTGTGCCCCGCTGCACACGCAGCCCGGGAAGGCCAGCAGTGATTTCCCAAAGCAGCCCCAGGGCTCTCTGAAGGTCTTTTCCATGGTCTCCATGGTTACCAGCAGAATTTTTCCCCCCAGCTCGGCCTGTTTGCATCACTCTTGACTACAGACCGTCAGAGGAAGGAGATCATTTTGGGGAGGCCCTGTTCTCTGGTTACCAGGTGCTGCATTGTAACCTGGGCAGGGACAGGTGTCTCTACAGCAAACTCTCACAACCAGGCAGCTTCAGGGCCAGGGGCCAGGGGCCAGGGGCCAGGGGGCTGGATTGGGGACCCTTTTTCTCAGCCATCACTGGGCTGGCCAGATCCAGGGCTGCAGCTCTCTGGCCACCAATCACCCAATGACAATCGGGGGACCCCAAAATATAAATAAAATATAGGAGCTTTTTAAAAATTATATAAATATATAATATAATAAATATAGTATAATATAATATAATATAATATAATAAATATAATATAATAATATATGATATAATATATAATCATTACATATCACACGAGGCCGTCTTATCTCATAGATTCTGTTCTCTGGAGCTTTGTCTCTTTCTCTCCAGGCTGCTGACGGTCCTGGTGCAACAGTCCAGCCTCAGCGAGGTCAATCGCCAAGACAGCGAGGTGAGCCTGCCAGGGGACAGCTGGCCTTGTGCACTGGGTTGGGGGCGGGGGTGAGGCCTTTCTAACTGCTGTGCTGCGGGGGATGGAGCGAGCTTTGTGTTCCTGCCCCGAGAGGGTAGCCTGCGGCCCCAGGACCTAGACGCTTCTCCCCACTGTGCTGTGGTCCGCGTCTGACCGGGAAGGACTTGCGCTGAGTGAGAATCATCACACTGAAGTTGCGTAATCCCCTCTGGACCCTGAGAAGGAAACACTGCTCCTTCCTGTCCTCTCGAGTCCGGGCCTTGGCTGCAGGCTGCGGCTGCCCACGTTCCCTCTGAGGGACAGACATCAGACGATGGCGACTCCAGGCCTCGGGCTCCAGAGGCCACGCTCTCGCACCAGTGCTCACAGCTGCTGTTTCCTTTCGTTGCAAAAAGAATGCTTCAGGGAGGCCAAGCCCCTGATGAGGGGGGTCCCACATCAGGCGGGGTGCCCCACAGCAGCTCAGCCTCTCCTCCTAGCTACTGACCCTTTAAAAGCAGGCCTGGCTCTCATTAGCCAGCCTGGCTTCTTTAATAGGCTCCTTAACGCGGGCGGAAATGCCTGCTTGTTCATGAAACGTCATAAACGCACGCCCGGCTTGGCCGCACTGCACTAAGGTTGCATCATAGCTTCAAGCAAACGGCGTTGCGGGCCGACACTGCCCAGCTGCACTGCTCCCGGGGNTTAACGTGGGCGGAAATGCCTGCTTGTTCATGAAACGTCATAAACGCACGCCCGGCTTGGCCGCACTGCACTAAGGTTGCATCATAGCTTCAAGCAAACGGCGTGCGGGCGACACTGCCCAGCTGCACTGCTCCCGGGGAGCCGGCTGCCCTCAGGCCGAGGGGACGGCTCCTCCCAGCAGGGTGGGGCCCGGCCGCCCGAGCCTCCTCCAGCCTCCCATCCGGGCCCCTCCCTGCAGCCTGGACTCATGGCCACACAGAAAGCCCCTGCCTGCAGCCTGGATCTGAGGTCAGCCGCCGGCCGCGCAGTGGTCACACGCTGGTTTCACTGCCCGTGTCTTCAGTGGTTTAAGCAAAACAGAAGAGAGAGGACCTCACTGTCTCAACTTCTGCTTTAAAGCAAGGAGCAGCGACAAGAAGGCGCAGACCCAGCACTCGGCCGCGGTGTGGGAGCCGGGGCTCGGCGGTGCCCTGACGCCAGCCGGTCGTGAACTTCTGGACCCCTCCTTCCAACTCCCACCCTTGGCCCCAAGCTGGGGCGTTTAGAAAGGGGGCCAGTTCAGTCCCTCACAGCCTAGAAGTAAACTCCCCTCCAGACCTCCAACCCTGCCCCCCTCAGTGGAACAGATACTCCCCAGCAAACAAGGTGAGCCTCACCCCAGGGCCCCGCTGGCGGGCACAGGGAGAGGAGGCCGGTCTTTCTCACGGTGGACATTGTAGCATGTTTGGGGAAATGTGTGGCACCTGCTGGGAAAGTCTCTGGTTCCCTCTCATGCAAGGTGACCTTGGAGAGGCTTCCTCGGGCTGCTGAGCCAGCATCCTGCCCTCGGTGCCCAGCGCAGACGGTGGGGTCCTCAGAAAGGGCCCTCCCGCCCCGTGTGGCAGCTTCCTGTCCGGGCGTGTCCCAGCGTGTCCACGCCTCCCAAACCCACCCGCAGCCACCGGCTGACGCTCGCCTGTGTTATCATTCCTGTGGGGATTTGTCATTGCTCGTGTGAGCCGGTCAAATAAGTCTGCGAGGCCTGGGTGCTCTCCGGCCCCGAGAGGCGAGGACAGAAAGGGAGAGGACGCAGCCCAGGCTGCCCCGTTCCGCCGGGCCCGGGAGGCTGCCTGCCTCTGGCTCCCCAAGCTCTGGGCCCCCCCTCCCTCACTCCCCCCTCAGTGCTGTTCCAGTGACCCCCAGCCCAGGGCAGCCTCCCCTGTATCCGAGGGTGACAGGTACAGGTGACAGGTACGGCCTGGGCACCTACACACCCTCCATCCACTAAAAGCAGGGGGCAGAACAGCAGGACGGTTTCCCAAGGGCGGGAGGAGAGAGTGGGGCGCGTCCCCCACGGTGCCAACGAGGTTATTTCCTGAGAATAGCCAAGGGCCTCCCAGCTTGTCAGAATGAAGACTACAGGTTAAAGGACCGATTAGTTGTCCTGGCTGGTGTGGCTCCGGGGCTAGAGCGTCGGCCCACAGACGGAAGGGTCCCTGCTTCAGCTCCTGCCAGGGGCACATACCTGGGTTGCCGGCTCGATCCCCGCCCGGTCGGCGTGCGTGGGGGAGGCAGCCAATCAGGGGTCTCCCACATCGACGTCTCTCTCTCTGCCCCCCTCCCTTCCACTCTGTCTGGAAAAGCAGTGGAAACAACACCCTCAGGTGAGGGCAACAACCAAAGGGTCAGTGGATGAGTAGAAACCTGACTTCACTGAGATATTAGACTGTGAACGGGAACTAAAGGGGGGGCCCTGTTCCCGCAGCTGCTCTGTGACGGCTCAGTGAAAGGAAGCGGGACCCGTGGGGCGGAGAGTGCCGCTCTGGAGCCAGTCCTGGTCTGAGCTCAGTGACTGAAAACAATTTTTGTATTATTATTAGTATTAGTTTTTACTTATATAAGTAACCCGTGAGCCCATTTGTTTTCTTAATGTTAATACCCCAAGCAGTGCCAGCCCATCCTCGATCGCTCGCACCAGGCCGCCTTGGCCCCGGTGGTCACGCCTGGGTGCCTGGGCCCCGTCTCCGGGTGCTCGCGGCTCTGGGGCGTGGGGGGGCGGGCGTCACGCGCTGGGGGCTGTTCCGCGACTCGGTCTTTTCACTCGCGCATTCCTGAGGGTCTTCGCGCCGAGGCCCATAATCGGGCTCAGTCCTGTGGTGACTTCGTAACGTTCACGCTGTAGATCCCCCTTGTGCGCGGTTTCAGGAACCCGCAGCCCACGGAGGCCCGAAAACACTACGTGGAAAATTCCAGGGAGAAGCCATCGGGAAGGCCACCGCTGCCCACTGCCCGCTGCTCCGAGCAGGCGACGAGCTCTCTGCCCCTCCGTCGGCAGCTGCCCTTCTGTGCCGCCCGCCCGTCGGCCACTCAGCGGCCGTCGGCCCCGGCTGTCTCCGCATCTCGGTGCTTGTGCGCAGCTCCCTTTATTTTACCTAATAAGGCCGCATTCGCACAACTTCCGTTACAGCAGATCGTTATAGTTATTTTATTAGTTACTGCCAGGCTCCCGCTGTGCCTACACTGCAAGTTAAATCCCATAGGTATATACGTACAGGAACCGACACGGTACGTATAGGGCCAGGTTTACTCGTGGTCCCAGGCATCCCCTGGGGGCCTCGGAGCGGATCCCCCGCAGGGAAGGGGGGCACTGTCCCCCGAAATACCTTCACTTCTTTGGCCGTTCCCCTGTGAATGGATATCCAGGCTGTCTCCAGTTTCCACCATCTTGCGGGAGCTCCTTGAGGATTTCATACGAGCCTTCCTCTGGGGGAACCTTGGGCCGCAGAGGAGCTTTTTTACTTTTCATCCGCGGGCCTGGCTGTCTCATCCGGCTCTGGCAGCTGAGGCTCCGCTGCCCAGTGAAAGGAGCTATTGTCCTCCCGTTGCTGGATTGTCTCGCTGCTGTTTTAATTTGCATTTTCCCTGATAACGGGCGAGGCTGAGCGTCATTTCACAGGCGCAGTTGCCGGTTTTCTGTTTTCTTTTGTGACTTGCCTGCTTATATCCCTCGTCTGGTCATCTGCTGGGTCACTCGCCATTTTCTTCTCTTTTCACAGGAGTTTATATTTTGAAAACTAATTCTCTGCCGTTGGGTTGCAAATATGTTTTCAGTCTGTTGCTGATTTTAGAAGCGCCCATGATGTCTTTTCTTGTGCAGAATTTTAAAATACGATGACGATGAAAACGGCCACTCTCGTCCACGCTGCTTATGCTTCGTCCTCCTAAAGCCCTCCGGCCCCCAGGGCCGCGACTACACTGCGCTTTCAGTTTGTTACAAGATCCCTTTTAAAGCACGAGGTTCCTTTTCTGGACTCTTTGTTCCGTCCTAATGGTCCGTCGGGTTTTTCCGTTTCATTAACCTCCCTGCCTGGTTATTCTGTGACTCGGGTCTAACACCGTGGGCGGCGCGGCCGGTCGGTCAGCTCCGTGCCTCTGTCTTCCTGGCCTCAGAGGACCATCCCCAAGGAGACAGGCTTTCCCAGTCCAGCTTCAGGAAGTTAACACGTCGCTGAGCCCCTGGGATCTGAGCCCCCACTGAAAGGGGCTGTGGGATGTTGGCGTCTGGGTTAGGACTTGACATCTGTCCGGAGAAGCTCTGTGGTGCCTGGTACTTAGGGTAGATCGTAGATTCTTTGTTAAATGCACGTTCTGATTGGAATAGAGTTTATGCGAGCGGCCAGACCGTCCAAACTTCCACTATAACAGCAGCCTGAGAAAATAAATCCAAGTTGTAAAAACCAGATGTGAACCTTTGGATATAGTTCTTGGCACTAAATCCGCTCATAACATTCCTGAGATGCAACCGCAAGCGCAGATCGTGCACCATAAAGGCGAACTCACAAGAAATCATCCGACTCTAGAAGTCCTCATACTTTATAGTTAGCAAAAGTGAAATAACAGAGCCAATTTTTTTTTTTTTTTTAGTGCGCCAGAATTTTTTCCAAAAGAACACCTCGAAAAAATGGAATAGACCCTGGCCGGTGTGGCTCAGCGGTTAGCAGGTCGGCCTGCGCAAGGAAGGGTCTCAGGCTTGGTTCCCGGGAGGTCAAGGGCACATACCTGGGTTGCAGGTTCAACCCCCAGCCCAGGTTGGGGCACGTGAGGGAGGCAACCAATCCATGTCTCTTTCCACCTTCCCTTCCTCCCTCTCTCCCTTCCACTCTCTAAAAATCAATGGAAAAAGTCTCCTCCGTTGGACTAACAACAACAAAACATCTGCAGCAACTAACATAATACAAAGTATCTGTGACTCATTGTTGGAAACGTCACAAGTATCTCACCACTGCTGTCGGTTGTTGCCTGTCTTCGTCGTTGAC